GCAGCATCATCGTGTCCCCGGAGTCCATGAGGTTCTGGGACGGAAGTGAATGACTGAGGGTGTGAAGCAAAGATGTTATCAAGTGCTCTATCATCACCGGCCCCGTAGTATGGGCTGATACTGGAACCACTACTACTTGTGCAGGGTATGGGTGATGGATGCCGGAGTTCTCTGTGTTGCCGTTGACGTTTCTCGGGGGGAGGTTGGTTGGAAGGACTGGGACTTTGAGCTTGACGCTTTCGGTTCCGATGTGATTGGGATGACGAATCAGATACTGTAATAGGCGAAGCCATTGTAATGGATGGAATTTGTATAGATTCGTTGATGATTGATGCAGATTGTTACGACGCGTCGAACTGGCGGGTTTAGGGGCTAGGTGGCAGAAAGAATGTTTTGGGCGGTAATACTTGTAGGGTGGTTAGCAGAATGGAAGTGCACTAACAAAGAATTTGGGCCAATAGATGGGCTTAAAAGTGATGCCCGGATAAGAGTGATGCCCGTGTATCAATTCCCTTATTTTAAAAGTAGTAGAAGTTTATAATAATTTCTTAATATTAAGGTTCTCTATAATTCAAAAATAAAGAAACTCTAGCTTTTATGAGTAGTTTATATAAAAAAGGTTAGAAAACTCTTTCTATTAAGATACTCTCTAAGAATATAAAAGAGAACCTCTATAAAGCGTATTAAGCTACTTTTTTTATAAAGAAGAAGCTTTAAATACTAAAATTAATCTCTATTAGAAAAAGGTAGAAACTATTTTATATATAGTAATAATAATATGACTAAACTTTATATTTATAGTAAGTTATTTAGCTTATTTTAACTAAAACTTTAGACTAAAATACTAATAAGTTATAGATTAAGCTTTATAGTATTTCTATAAACTATATTATTTATATATTAAGTATAAAGTTAAAGCTAGAAACTTATATAATACTCTTAAAATAGCTTCTAACACAAGCTTTAGTAATAAGATTTTAAATTAAACAAGTCTCTAGAGATTTATAATAAATCTCTTTAGAAGTATTATTATATAAAAAGTAAGTAAATAAATAAGTATAATAATTTTAATTATAGAAATAAAGCTCTTCTTATTTTCATTTATAGCTTAAGAAGTAATATTTATAAGCTACTTTACAATATCTCTCTAAATATAACTTCTTAAAGAAATAAACTAAAAAGTATCTTTTTAGGTTACTAAAAGCACTTTTATAATGATATAAATTTAATATAATAACTAATAGATAGTTAATTAAACTAATTATTAAAAAGCTTATTTATTTCTAAATAAGGTTATGCTGTATTCATATTTATAACTATTAGCTTGATTAAGAGATCTATAAAAATATATAATAATAATATATACTCTTTTTATATACCTAATAGTAAATAGCTTTATAAAATCCCTTTTATAATAAGTTTTTGAAAACCTTTAGGCATAGTTAGAAATAGCTAATTAAAAGGTAACTTTTAAAACAGATTATACTTTTAAGCTCAAAAGAATAAAAAGAGATAAAAAAAGAAATAGAAAAGGAAAATATTTAAAATAACTTTATATAATAAGTATATAAAGTTATAAAAATAAAGAATAAAAAGTATAAAAAAGCTTCTATTTAAAGTAGACAAACTACTAGAGAGATTAAATATCTATAAACTTAAAGCTTAAAAATAAAACTCTTAAGCTAAAGTTTTTAAGATACTAAGAAACTATAAAATAAAAAAATTTAGATATTCTTAAAAGTAGAAATAAGAAGGATAGCTTTATAAGAAATAGCTAAAGAGATAGCTAATTTAAAAATATAAAGCTAGTTATAAAACCTCTTAAAGTTAATATAGCTAGACTTAGAAGTATAAAAGAAAGTATAATTAAAATTACAATAACTAGCTATAATAGTACTCTAAATATAACTAAGAGTAGAATAAAAACTAGAGAAAATATTGAAGACAATAAGAGAAATAGAAACTAAAGTTTTTAAATAAAGAGAAAGTATAGTAATAAAAGGTTTAAAAGCTAGAATAGAGTAGTAAATATATAAAGTATATTTAAGAGAAGTAATATGTGTTTTTTGATAACTTTATAAATTATAATAATTTTATAAATAGTATTTTAAAAGTTTTCTTAAGTAATATTAATTCTCCATAAAAGATTAATAACTATATAGAAATATTTAATAAAAAATAATTTATATTTTAGCTAGAATAGATTTATTACTCTTAATATATTGTTTTATTTTATAGAATATATAATACGAAGTAATTATGTCTTTAATACTTATAAAATAAGTATTATGTTTTATATAGTAATAATAACAAATATTCTTCTTAAAAATAATAATTAAAATATAAATAGCTTCTATTAAAAGAGAAGAAATAGCTAAAATAAATTTATCTTTTAACTTAAAAGAGAAATTTATAGAGTTAAAAAAAGTTATTAGTCTTTATAATAACTTTACTTTTTTCTTCGTTTTTCTTTTCTTTATTAATAGTAGTAATAATGATAATCTCTTTATTAATAATGACTTCTATATTAACATAAATAGCTTAAAAAGCTACTTCTTCTTTTTCTTAGTAGTAGTTTTATTTAGTAAAATTAGTATTAATATACCTTTTCTTTTTATAGTTAATAAGGGAGATAGTAAAAGCTTTAGTTTCTTTAATCTCCTTTTTCTCTTTAACGTCTTTCTTAGTTTAGCACGAAGTATTAGAGAAGTAGCTATATCTTTTCTTAATAGAGGTTTTTTTAACTTAATTATTATTAAGGTTTTCCTCTTCAATAAACTAAAACGTAAAGTGCTTAAAATAGCTAAAAAAGTAGATAGTAGAGGAAATAATAATAACTAAAAAAAAGAGGATTAATAATAAAAGAGACTTATAAAAAAATAAAATGAGTAACTAAAGTTTAAGAGAAAGAGTGGCTTATTTTCCTTTTTAGTATTAGAAGAATTAAAAAAGAGAAAACTAATATAATAAAAGTAATAGAGGTTAAAAGTCTTAAAAGTATATAGTTATATAATATATATCTAAGTTAATTTGTTAAGGGTTTAGTAGGCCTTCTAAACTTTTCAGCATTTTCAGCGTTTAGAGGTTAGATTACTAACCCCCCCCTTAAGGGGGTGAAAAGGTAGCTTAAATATTATTATTAACCCTTATAGATTAAAGGTATAATTTACTTATTTCTTAACAGATTTTTAAGCGTTGTATCTTATTCTTTTTACTTTAGATCTAAAAGAAATATAAAAAATCTTTTCTTTTTTCTTCTAAGATCATAGGCCTAAAAACTATAAAGTTATGTAGCTATAGTAGCTTTACGCGCCTTCAGGCGTATGCGCGCCGCTGCATTACATAGCTCTCAGCCGCCTGGCCTATAACCATTTCAGTACCACGTCTGGATTAATCACACGAAGCTGTTTTGGAATTTTCTTGGTCACTTCCCCTTTTCGTCTTCTGCCTCTGCCACCTTGGGTGTTGCGTCGCACGTCGAAGCTCGACCCGATTTCCTCCGATCACAAACCTCTGACCGCACGCCCAACCTCTATATTGGCCACATCGGCCGCAATGCTCGCCGCTTGTCGCGCTTGTCACCGGCAATTTTCAACATGTGCTTTGGAGACTCCACGCTATCGGTGCGACCTTGGCCACCAGGAGAGCGAGGCAGTTAAAGTCTCCCGTCAGCTTCAACCCGTAATCGCCCGATACCCCTTGCCTTTTGACCACACCTGCCGGCAGGTAATAAGTAACGTTTACCCCGTAACTTGAAGGGTGCGCCCCGAGGTAATGCCGCTGTTTGTTCTCAGAAACAAGTCTGGAGCTGTTGCTGACCTCTTTTGCATCAACACTCCCACGACCGCATTCCTCGCACCAGGCCAGATCTCGACAACAAGATGCTTCTCGTCAAAGTCGCGACGTGAACGAATAAATGCCGAATGTAGGGGCATTCCACCGAAGCCACCAGCACCATGACACCTTCACACCGAGTGTTGCTGCCTTCACGATCGTGGTGCAACCACTCCTTTGCCTCCGCCGCAGTTTATAGATTGCATTGTTCTGTGACCGTCAAACAACTGACCACTGTTGCAATCCACACTTTGCATTAACTGAACAATCTGTCCATTTCTAACAATTGAGCTATCCGCTGTGCAACCCGAATCCGCAGAGATTTGCCCTCTGCAGGGCCATATTCGACTCGATTACCCTGGCTAGATTGAAAACATGCAGCACCATGAGCCTCCATTGGAACCTGCTCTCCTGGAAGATTCAATGCGACGACCATAACTTCGATCCCACCGTCCTAAACAACAGTACCACGACTCTTGCCCGCGAGGCTTCTTGTACGTTGAGGTGTTTTTCAACTTGATTCACGTCCTGGTTGACGATCTTCCAACGGACGTTTGGCCACAGCGAAAGTCCCGATACCCCTTTAACACCATCCGCATCGTCAAGTCCGAAGAGATGGTGACTCGCAGGAGGCCCTACGCCTCGGCCAGCATCTCAAGCAGCACTTCGGGGCAAATGGTCTCTTGACACATCGCATCGATATCATTGTCGAAGAACACGGCGTGGGTTCCGAGCTGCAACAGGTACGTGGTTGGTGTCGACGGCAATTCACGCCTCGATCATGTCAAAACTGATTTCCATAACACTAAGCGCGTCTCTTTGAGGACCTGAAGGCCACTTCCTGACAGAATATAGACCGACAGGTCTTAGGAGCTCGCCGAGATCGCGATTCATAACGGCAACGACCGTATCAGACCTACTCGGAGTATCTGCATGCCATCAATGGAAGCTCAACATAACTTTTCAACTGTAACATTTAGCTGAAGGCCAACATGGCCCTATGCCACGCGCTGCACGGAGCCGTCCCGGACGCGGCGCTGCTGACGAAGTTGAAGAACGTCGTCGGTGGCGAGCATGTCAACACCTGAGGACCCTCTGGGAGCTCACAAATGTCAAGGGATGCGCAGATGACAAAGCGGCGTTTCAGTTATTGCAAAAGAAACAAGACTTGACAGAGACCGACGCGAAGACGCCGATTCTGACCACTTCATTATTCATTCCGGCTCTATTGATGTTGCTGATCAGTTTGCCAAAGCAAATACGTGAGAAGGTGGCCATTCTCGATGGCTACGGCCATTTCACAATCGGCCTGCCCAGCTCCATTGCTGGCGAGTACTACATCATGATCTCGACAGTGTGCCCCAAGATCGCGAGCTACGGCCCGGCTTATAACACAGAGAGCTTGTTCAGGGTTGTGAAGATGTGAAGCAGGAGGGGACAATGGACTCCCATAGACCTAGCCGGTTCAAAAGAATCTCGATGGAACAACGAAGTGCTGGGTGGGCACAGCCGTAGGGACCATGCAGGGCGATGCTATGCCGACTGGTCGCACAAGAAGTGCGCCCATGTCGAGTTGGAAGCGGTAGATGCGGTAATGAACTGCATTTAGAACGACTCAATGCACGACACGTTGGTATGTTGCGAGCGAGACGTGGCTCCGGAATCCGGAATCAGCCGCACCATGTCTACATCAATGGAAAAATACCCACGTGGGAGGTTCCTTTAGGGATAGGGACAGGCCATCAGATTTAAGCAGGGGGCAAGCTATACCTAGCATGATGAAGACCGTGGACATCGTCCTGTCGCCAGTTGACTCGGACGTTGTGAAGAAGCTGATTTCAACTCGCAACACGAGTACCAGGGGCTACAAGCCGCCGTTCAAGACGATCAAGGCACACAAGATGAGAGGTGACAGTTTCAGTGGACTTTGATGCTCGAACGCCGGTGCCTTCGCGTGTGTTATCCTAGAAGCACAGCAATAATGCTATATAGAAGCTGCTTACGACACGAGTATGGATTTGACGGAGAAGCTGTATCTGTGATTCAAATTCCTTACCAAGTCCAGAAACCTTGTATCCTGAGGACAAAGGCGGGATGCACGACAGTTCAGTGGTCCCAAAGCAGGCAGACACGAAGCATCCGTACCCTCTGACACCGAGGATGCTGATGACCGGGCAAGTCTTGATACTGACCGCAATGACAGGAGCATGGGACTTTTCGTGCACAAATTTAAGTATGAAGCAAGCGACAAGACTTATATTAGCATCGATGGAGACCTGCAAGTTCGTGCTGACGAGATAGGTACTCGGCCGGCCTTGGGAAACGACTGAGTCCGACTACAACATCTCCGAACTAGGAATACCCTTTGGGACGAAAGTGGCGATGAGCGCCCCCACGTACTCCAACAATCGGAAGCTCGCTCTATGCGACATTCCTTCGGCTGAGGCCACGTCTCACAGCGAGAAACGTCGCTTTTAGTGACTTATATGTCAAGCCAAAGGGAACACGTAGTGCTCATACTCATGCCTCAACTTGAACCTGAAAGAGCCTTCCCAGCACAGGGAGTTTTGGTGACCTGATTCGTAATGCCCTGACCAATGCTAGGCCGCCAGCAAGAAGGGGCTCTTTTGAGATGGGTTTGAAATAGAGATTACAGCGTTGAATAGGGTTTCTATCGCATAGAGGAGCCTCTCGTGCGTGAGCTGCAAATGGGCCATCACCGGGAATCGGATGAGAAATGAATAAGACACAAATTGAAGCTGACTGACGAGGAAGCATCTCATAAGAACTATCAAACCAAAGTTCCAGAATCCACGTCTCTAATTCCTTGAAGGTCAACATCATTCCATTGTCGAACCAAGTGCTCCTCGGGCTGGCGAGCAGGAGCGCCGATGGCGCTGGATTGATGATGTCTGGGCTGGACCACATGCACTGATCACTTCGAAATGACGCATGGCCTCGAAGAAGAGTTCTATGACCGCTTGCGGGAGTGCATTTAGGGTTTAAACCTTACTTTGTATCAGGTTGGTACGAGATAGATAAGCTTCTTTCCGATCAAAACACTGGCAACATCGTTTTGAATGAAGTCACCACCGAGGTTCGGCTCGCTTTTCTGGATCGACATATTGACACTTACCCAACAGAGCATGCTGAACGAGGAGGGGACAGGGAAAACTCTTACCAAGATAGCATACCTCGTTCCCTCGCAGATTATGAGGTCCTGGGAGATGCCCTGGAAGATTGAGCAGTGACCTGCCGCCCTCGAGATAACATGGACGTACTTCAGCATGTTCATGCGGGGAACGACCACGATGTGTAAGTGTACCCCGAAACCCATCCCGTTAGTATTCTTGAGCCTCCCCGTCCCACAAGAGATATCACCTGCTTCTCGGTCGGGTTCTGCGTCTTTTTGAGGTCGTCGACCATCTTTAATGTACCGATGGGCGGGTCGTCATGATTATGCGATACGTGGTTGTTGCCGAGAACACTAATTTGCGGTCCTCTGACTCTCCGCCTTGACATCGCAAGTCACATGCCACTTTTCAGTCAGATCACACAGTTGCACATCGTCGCCGGTATTGCGATCATCCCGTCAATCCTGCGGTTCACCACGGCTGACCGCACATGGGATTCTTCGTGATGACGCCGGGCCATGGCACTCACTGCTCATACGTGACATTGACGTTTAACTCCACTTGTTCGAATTTCCGAGCTTCCTGAAGTATTCGTACCTATTCGTAAACCCCTCAGAACGTAGGTAGTGAGGCCCCACCCCCCTTAAACTTGGCTATAGCTGCTTGTCTGTCATGGTCTATTTGAAATTCCCCGTCCTGGTCCCCTCTGCGCAGCTGCTCGCCTCGAGGCAAATTCTGATATCGGAGTACGTGGTAATGAGGAAGACGAGCAACCATCTAAATTCTCAGACTAAGATACTTTGTGATTATCTCAAAGTCTGCAGGCTTGTCGCTAAGCATATACTTGATGGTCATGTGCTTTTTGAGAGAGGTGGTTGTGTTTCTGTTGCCACAGCAGGCAACATCTATGCCGTCTATGTTGTGCGCGAAGTGGATTTTTGATAGGCTGGTAATATTGTTCCAACACCTGTGTATTTGACCTCGAAAGTGCACGCGTCTCTCGATTACAGCCTCCATGGAGTGGTCGACCTGGTAGGCTGCACGATGTTCGGGCCAACTTCCGGAATTCAGCTGCTAATTGCCATAAGTCGCCTTGCCCTTGATGATGAACCCCTTGCATGTCTTCTTCTTCTATGAGGGGGACTTCAGGTCGTCGTTTATAACATCGAGCCTGAAGAATTGTGACCCGAAAGCCTTACCAAGACGTGGTCTCACGTACTGGAAAATTTGGCGTGGTTGTTGTCGCTATGTCATTGTCGCTCGAGCGATCCCAGTGGAAGGCTTCGATGTATTTCGTTGATTATGTAGGAGACATTAAGCCCGCATACCTGTGTGAGGCACGGTCGACACGACGTTCAGCCAAGGCCGACGCTCAACAAAAATCACATTCCGACGCAGTAACCAAGGTATGGAAGACTGTGAGACCGGTGAGCTCGGTCACGAAGAGGCGGTGCGAGCTGAAGCTCAAGGAGGATTGTCAGCCGGCAAGTTGTGCACCAGTCATGGTTTTGTCCGTCATCATGAAGTGCCTTTCGGAATGACTGAAACAGGTCGATGGAACCTATATTTGGGAACGCAACTGGCAATGCTTCGGTCATCAGCGTGGCTGCAGCTCCGGACTGAGGAGGCTGTGAAGAGAAACTAGCTTGGTGCAGGAATATTGGAAATACCGAAGTCCAAGTTGGCCCGGCCGTCGTCTCGAGGGCCTTATAAAGACGAGCAATATATAATGATAGCGACATAGCGGAAGCTTGAGCGTTGCAAAACGACTCGTTTCTTTTCACTGTCTCCTGCGGCATGTCTCCTACTTCGCATCTACAAGCCTGGTATCCTGATTCACCCTTTGCCGTATGACCCGCAAGCTGTGAGTGGCGGGCTCCCATGAAAGCCGTTCCGTCTTCGTCGAGATGGGGTATTGCGCTCCATCTGCGAGGGAGGCGGCAGCGACGTCTCATATGAATTTCGAGGGTCCCGCCAGAGGTGCATTTGCCGCTTTCAACGTCGCTGTTGGTGGAATTAGCTGTCCTGAAGGCCAAACAGTTGGAATCCCAAGTAGTAAAAGTTTGCTTATTTTCCTAGTGTTACGACCCGTTATGCAGGATAACAGTTAACCGACCCACTTGGGCATCGAGCGGCTAGGACAGGACATTTGTATTGCAGGATCACGGGAACAACAGGGACACGCTCGGAAACGGAAGAACTATGGTACAAGTCACGTGACGATAAGATAACGATCATGTTGGATCAATATGATCCAACACGACTTGGGGACCGAATGATCATTCTGGATCAGAATGATCCGGATCGACCCAAGGTACAAAGGAACATGTTCAGAGTTAGACTTGTATATAGTATGACCCTGAGCCTAGCTCATGGTCAGACCTCCATAGCTCTTCAGCAATCAACTTAGTATTCATCCTCAGGATACTCTCAGCTTACCCTCACTACGAATACTCGTTGAGTCTAAGACTGATCACCTTAGCCTCTGAAGACCTGATCTACTACAAGCCTACGACCTACGACCCAGACCACGACCTCAGTGTACTGTTACTACGTGTCAATCCCCAGCTCCTGTTAGCAGACCCTACTGTCGGATAGCTGACCGTAACACCTAGCAGCCACTGATCACCGCCGATGCCCAAGTCAGTGCAACAACCACCAGTCATTCAACCAGGTCCTTGGAATCTGGTCGAATATTTCACTCGCCAGTTACATCAAATGTACTCATTGCGATCTTGGGGCAAGGTACACTTGTGGGGTTCGGAAGCAGAGATATTTGCGACCCAGAGTGCTCTGCGACGTCAGGGACCGACCACCGCGAGCTCACATCTGTCTTCATTTACTGCTTAATGCTCTAAAGATTACCCGATGAGCTCATGATTGGGGAAGCAACTACAGCGAGCATGGTGGAAAGTATGAGCATCTCGACAACTGGGTGGTGCTACGAACAGACGAGTCGGAATCTGGACGAGGACTTCCGGCTTCTTGATGATCATTCTAGTCTCCGTCGTCAGGGGATACAGAGCCTAAGAAAAGGCCCACTCCGAACTGTACGCTGATGCTGGTGGTACAAAGATTGAGGTAAACGGTCATCGTTCGGAATTGCAACACGATCGAGATGCTTGTGGTCCTGTAACGGGGCCAGATAATCCGCGTTTGCGGGTGCGAATGCAGGAGTCTTGAGATTCACCAGGAGCCGTTGGGAGGAATTCGCGCAGCATGCAGAGCTTGTTAACCCTCTGTTAGAGTGGCAGGTTGTAGGGCGAGCTTAATGTGTCAACTGAGTAGCTTGTCATGTGTGTGAACTATTCGGAAGTTGGGTGCGAACTCCGCAAGTCTTTCACCACGAGTTCCGGCCAGGTGAGAGGTGCCATGGGCGCCGGGAGTATCCTCAAAAAGCAGATCATCCGAGGCGGCAGTCCATCAGAACTATTTCCTGTTCCTCTGTCTTCGTCCACCCTGTTTCGTGGCCGATTGTGCATTCCTGTGCAGGCTTTCTGTGCGGGGTTTTCTTCTACCCTCTGATGGTGATGGTAAGTAGCCCAGTGGCGTTTGACAAGCCTCCAATGGAGGCAGAAGTCTCTCAGGTCACTGGAATACGTGCCAAATACCCGACATTGATGCAGAAGCAGCCAGCAGAGTATCCTGCCGTCGATAAAGCCAGATGCTCACGTCAATGATGAAGCCTGACAGGAACATCAAATAAAGGTCTCGAGTACCGACAACAACACACTTGCAACCGTGATTCCATGTCGTCGTACGGATTGATCAACTGCGTTCGTGACACAGCAAGGCATCAGGGACGCTTTCAGGTCCGTCGTTGACAATGCACCAACCATCCCTCTCCTCAATGTTGTGTCGATTCCGGCTTTTGTGCATTCTCTCGTTTGTGCAGGTAAAACCAGTGTTGATGGACTCGTTGTTAGGCGACAAAGTGATCCACGTGTGGGTGGTCTCGGATTTCAAGTCGTAGCAAGCCAGATCGCCCGGTGTTGCTTCATCTTCGTACTCGAGGGCAAAACATGGGAACCCTCACCAGTGGAACGTGGATACTCGGAGGTAGGTCAAGGTGCCGGCAAGTTTCGCTGGACGTTGGCGAGGATGTGCAGGGCGAATTCGCCGACAACTTGACGGGTTTTTCGAGGACAGTCGCCGTTGTTCGGTGCCCCGAGGAGGAAGCAAGGGAATTGACCATGATCATGCCAACGTCCGAGGTAAGTGCCCTTTGCCTCTGATACCAATGGTGCAGAAAGGCGTCGGATCTGGCTGATCAGGGTTTGCACGATTTTGAAGAGGCTGCGGTAGTGTGCTTGTCGTTGTAAATGTATGAGTTCCCGTGTTGTCATGCGACACAAGGGCGGACTCGCTGGAAGAAGTGAGTACCTGCCGATTCCACACCGCGAAGTCGCTGAGCATCAAACTTTTAGGGGTGCGACTACCTAACCTAGAAAACCACAGGGATCAGAGTTCCGTGTCTCCAATCGCCGCCTAGACTGAGGCGTCGCTCCTTCCCGCACATCCTCTTCCTTACCTAACGTACCTCAGGTACGTAGATAGGTAGGTAGGTGCCTGCCAGACAACCTGGGTCCCTTCCAACATCCACTTCGTGCGTGTGCTGGCACATCCGTCGAACTTCAACTTCGACCGATCAACCTCCTATCGCTGCCAATACCAACCCTCCGCTACCAACAGAAAGGTTAGTCGCTTGATTTAACCACTGGTTACGCCGGCCTTTCTCCTTTGTTTATCACCTCGCTCCATCCTCTTTTCCCTATTGAGATATTCGACCCCGCATGGCCGGGATTGCCCATATCCTCTACATTACATGGCGGTACTGTCCCACCCCAAAGGATCTCCTCTCAGCATTGCACCTGCACCGTTAGAAGCCAAGTTCAACCGCTTCGTCGGCAGCATACTCACCGCTCGTGATCAGGTCTACGAGCGACTTCGGCAACTGGAAGAAGCCTGCGCCCGAGAGCCATACTGCATCAATCCAGTAGATGTTCGAGCCAGATTACCAGAACATGTCCTGAAGCTCGTCGTCAATGCCCTACCCAACGACCTCTTGTCTCTTCCAGTAGGAGACGTCAGCATACCCAAGCTCAGGAAAGCTGCCTCCGTGTGGGATATTGATCCGAAGCGCTTCTTATTCTCTATAGCCTACGACCTTCAGAAACAGGGCGGTACCTTCTTCCGACAGTTGCAGCCTCTCGTCGATCTCTCCTCCGATTGGGACCAGTGTCTTGTGCTACTGCTCGACTGTGCCAAGGTCCGACGCTCGGAACGCCGCCCAGGACGAAGAGGGATTGGTATCACACTGAGCGATATCAAGACCTCCATCCAACGTCTGGAGGCACAGCGTGTCACGAGAGCCACTCAAGAATCTTCCTCAGACGACAAAGAGGAAGAGGAAGATAAGACCAGCGAGACGGGCCTTGAACCTGACGACGAGAACACTACCCAATCTCCAGACAAGTCGTCAGCCGAGGGCCAGACCACAGAGATCACCTCGCCCACGAAAGGCAGCAACGGAAACTTGGACAAGGACACCGCAGGTACCTTTTCTCCAACAGAAGACTTCGAATCAACAGAAGTGGGCAGAGGCGACCCAACCACAAGCTTTTCCAGGCACAGTCTTGACGGCGAAGAAAGCGACGCGGACCCTAGTGGCGGCAGCTCCAGGTACGACTACGACCAAGGCGACGAATTTGCTCCGGCCTACGGTGGAAACGACTTTTTCATAGAAGACGACGGCGGTGACGACTCTGTTGGTCTCGACGACAGTCTCAGTGGCGACGACGTTCTTCACGCTTCTCGTTCGGAAGGAGACGTTAGTGAAGAAGCCGGCTCCAACATTTTGGCTGAAAAGCGAATTTCCAACGGCATCTTCGTCCAAAACTGCCAAGGAGACGCCTTAGTCGCTCGCCTTCCTCTTTTCCTCCATTTGAGAGCTGACAACTCCTTCACCTTCAGCACCAAAGCTGACATCGTCAACAACTGCAGTCGTGGCGACATGACTATGCTCATGGAGATGTGTGCGGATGGACGTCGCGGCGGAAATTCGATCATGGCGGGTTCAGGCATTGAAACGTTGCTGGACACGACAGCCGCAGTCGAAGCTGTGTGGATCAATGCTTCGCTGGGAAGGATTTGCGACGGTCTGGGTCCGCGATTCACCAATCTGGACAGCAAGGAAACGGCCAAGGTCGTTGACGAGGACTACCAGCCGAAGGCACACGTCGTTGAGACCATCGGTGACGCCGACATCCTACTTCTACCTATCCTCCTCGACGGAAACCACTGGGTTCTCTGCGCAGTTGACCGGGCTTTAGACGACGCCACGACCGTCGACATTTTCGATTCAATGGCATCAACCGGGCATACAGAGCAAACTCAGAAGATCGTGGACGCCTTCTTCGCCGTTTATCTACCCAGCTTGATACCAGGTCTACAAGTCCAGCAATGCGCATGCACACAGAAGCAGAATGCTGCCGACTCCGGCATACACACAATACTGTTCGCTATCTCAGCGGTCCTGAAGAGGCCTCTCCCAACGACCCTCCATGTTGGGCTATGGCGTCAGATTCTCGCGGCCTGCTTGGGCGGGAGTACGGAGGGCTGGGATTCCTTACTCTCGTGGGACCCTCATGCCCCGTGGGAAAACAGTATGAAGCTCACGAACGATGTCTGGATTGGCGGAGACATGAGCACCGGAGAATTGGACCCAGTCGTCTTGGCCACCAAACTGCGGGAGTAGCACTCCTCACGCGTGGATCTTCTCGAGCGACACGTGTCGGACTCAAAGACATTATCTAACACAGTCTTGTCCGCTACAGTCATGATGATTGCCCTGTTGAGAAGGACAGAAGCGCATGAAAATGACACCGAAAAGCGCTTGAAGAGAGTCGAGAAGACGTCTCGCTTGGAGTTTGGCCTGGTCAGTGTAGGCCAGCTGTCGCTAACAGCGGAGAGAGTCGAGGGAACTCGGGTGCAACTCGAGAAGATTGTCACCGGACTCGAAGGACTCGCTGGAGCTATACGTGCTCGTGTGGAGTTATTGGCCAAGTGCCGTGAGAATGCTTCAAAGTTTGGTGTTTAGTTATTATGGGTGCTCAGCATATGCATGGTTAATGGAACGGGCGCATGAAAGGCGCATCTGGCATGTTATTTTGTGTTGGACAGCAGAAGTATGTAGATATTCTCAATCAAGTCGACGGCCCAAGCAGCTCTGAAGGACAAGTTTGATGTGCAACAAACGCAATGATCTGGCCGATTTCAGAGAGCGCACTGACTTCTCTGCTGCGTTATTTTTGTTTATTGTCTACGTCTTGCCTTTGTGGTCGCCCAATTACTCCCGGGGCACATTTCGTTGAGCTCATGGCAGGTAAATAGCGTCTCTCGTTCAACTTCTCCATCCAAACGGCGTACCATGCCTGCTAAGCCTCTGAGACTATCCCTGATCGTTCACGACATCCTGGGTCATTCAGAATCGTCGTACCCATCTTGGTCCCAGACACTTGGGACGCCACTCCTGTTGCGCCGCATCAAGCTCGCTCAGGATTCCGTTTGTGTGAAGGGCAGCGTCGGTATTCATGCTGCACCTGTGACGGAAGCGAGCATGAATGTTGTTCAAAGATGGACCTGAGCAGGGGAAACAATGAGTCATGCTAGGGATAGGGTAGAAGGCAGACCATTGATGGCAATGGTGCCGGCTCCATGGTTGCGATGGAAGAGGAGGGATATGCAGAGCGGACCGGACAGTGAGTAGCCTACCGAAACCTTCTCCAAGGCTTATTTGACTATCAGCAAGCATCTATGGATCAGGATTGGACTGAAAGGCGTACGAGCAAATTTCTCTCGGTTGGCTTTGGTTTTGGTGCTGATAAGTTGGATGGCCGAGCTCGTTGTGCTGGGGCCCTGTGCAGGATTGGAATGTTCAAAGGGGAGGTATAAAACGAGAGACCACAGGCGAATTTGAGTGTCTACCTTCAAAGGCAGCGAGATGCTGCCTCAGAATACTCCGAAGCCAAGATCGCGGTGGAAAAGAGAGTGGAGGGTGTAAAGTAGGTTTGGTAGATGCGCAGACCAGCAACGGCGGGCGGGTAGCTGTTGGCGATGCTGCTTCGGACATTAAGGTTGTTGTATTTGCGAGAGTTTCAGCGGTGTAGGCCCTGTGGCTCTAGCGCTTATAGCGGGCGAGAACTGAAACTGCATCACGAAGGAAGGGGTTGATGCGAGATCACGTCGGTCCCAACCCATCAATCTGTTCTTAAAAGGGCCCCCGAGACGTGGCAAAAGGCAGCCGCATGTCAATTCGGATTTTCCTGGTTCATTCGCACACCAAGTTCATAGGAGCTGGCTTATTTGATCTCTGATGCATCGCCAAAATAGCAGGGAGTGTCGGGTGTTGAGAGCCTGTCAGCGTCGGGTTTTGTGGCGTTGTTCGGTGCCAGTGCTGGAGGGCTTGGTTGGGAATCAGAAATATTCTTCAATTTCATGTCGAGGCACGCAGAAAAAGGGGTAAAGGGACGTAGCATGGATGGCGACGGCTTGAATCCAGTGACAATCACGCAGCAATTGACTCGCTGGCTGAGATACTGTTCGCCAAGACCCTCCATTTGGTGATTTCAAACCGGGCATCTGGAATACACCGTAGCAAGCCGATTCCTCTGTTGCTTTCGAGAGTGGTAAGGTGCATCGCCCCGTTGGTGGCACCGCGCAACGTCAGAGGGACGTCAAGTACCTACCTAGTTAGGTCGAGGTTGAGGTCGATGTGGGAGAGGTCGAAGGTGAGGCTGGTGGGTTCAGGGCGCGCGGAGGTGGCTGTTGATCTCGCCCCGCCTTCAGGGAGAGGGGCTTACAGTGGCAGCGCAGGGGAGAGGTTGGTCCTGGTCAGTTAAGGTTGCTCGCTTGGCCACCTCCCCAGTGCCTTGAAGGCCAAGGTACCTACCGATTTCACAGCCAAAAATCGGTAGGTACCTTGGTACCTAGTGTACATTTCTTGCTCAGTGGGGCTAGCCAACCAGGTACATTGTCCGGGGCAGCATGTACCAGGCACAGAACACCTCAGGTCCATTGGTGTCAATTCAGCAATGGATGGTGCCACCCCGCAACGATCTAGCGACACCTCTCCTAGCCAATTCCCCATCCTCCGCCCGCGACACTTCGCGATGCAATAATTATCACTGTGGTGCTCAACCTTGCGACTCGAGCTGCATGCCTAACAACCTCCCCGATTTGCTACCGATCGCGCCGCACCGCACCGCGTTCGAAAGGGGCAAACGCGGGCAGCTTGGCCCAACAAGTCGAAGGGCGACATTTGAGTCGCATGGGTTCGCCAGCCTGATGGAGTCAACATCACAGAGCGGGTATGCATGATAGAGACACACTCCAGTAGTTGATGCGAGGCGACCACCGGATCTTCCCTCCATAGGCATCTACGTCGGGGTGCGCCGAGTTGAGCAGCCAGCCGTCATCGTCGCGAAATTAGGCCTCCATGTACCTTCTGAAGCGTGCGTCGCAGAGCCTCAAACTTGTAAACCTACGCCTTCAGGCATGAGGCGGTCGGCGGGGTAGTTTCGGTGACCGCATACCGGGTTATGGTTGGGGTTGAGCATGCGTGCCTTGATTGCGCAGACGGGACATTCGGGTGCGTTGTCGAGAGGAATGAGGTGGGCTCGGGGCAACTCCGTGAGGCAGTGCAGACGGATTCGGAACTGTTCATCAGGTCGTGTACGATCGGCTGCAGCTCGTTCGAGGCAGATATGAAGGCTGCGAGGTTGGACAGAGGTTCGTGGTGCAGACAGAGAGATTTCAGCAGCGCCGTCTCCTGATACTGGACAAAAATGGTCAGCCAGCTGTCCGCCAGGGGTGAGCAATGGCAGAATGGGACTTGGCCTGTTGGTCTTGGAGGGAGCAAGCAAGCATCACGCTGGCTGAGCGTTGGTAGTTGCCACGGGTCGCTTGCGAGGATTGTGTGATTCATGCTGTCGGAGGGCCGAGCGGTGCAAGATGCGAAATTGGAGATTGAAGAGGCAATTAGAATTCTGTTTCGGGGATTGAGAAAGACGGCTGCGCTTCGACTTGCGGGGAACAGAGGGTACCTCCCGATTTCCAGGCGCTCAATCGGGAGATATCCACCACCAGCCCCCCGACTACACTACAGGGAAGCAGCTGTGTGCCTCGGACTGCTGCCAATCCGGCAGATGGTCGCGGCACTGAATAGAAGGGCGGCGTTGACTTCTATCATTTCCCATTGTCGCTTGTTCCTCTGTCTCTCCATCCCCATTCAACTTCATCAAGCATCTAGCGGTCACGCGAAAAGAAGGGCAAATCCCAGCGAAACGACTGCGGCAACCAATCATCTTACATGTTTGGCGCCATGGCGAACCTCGATCCCCGCACCAGCTGCGTGTCCCACCAGCTCTGCTTCCAACCTCCCCCCGGCCACCAACGAAAGATAATTCGCCGACTCATTGGATGCCCGGCAAAAGGAAGAGGGCATCACCGACAGGCCCTTCTACGGCTGACGAGGTAGGCTAATGATTGCTGCAAATCGACGATGGCACCCTTGCCGGGCACCGTTTATCGTTCGAGGCTGCGACGCTGCATCTTCGCCCACCACAAAAACCGATTATTCAAGCGAATACAGCAAACAATGTCTGCATAAATTGCCGTTCAATTGCCGTTCAAGAGCCCCTGCGTCGTTCCTCTGCCCGCGACAAGAACGCCTCCCAATGCAGCGAAGCACCACGCCTGCGCTGCAGGCAAACACGGCTACTTCGTCCGCACCAAGAAGCAAAGGCGCAAACCCCCACCCGTTGAATGCAATGTGATTGTTAGAAGTTGACAAACATAAGGGTCACCCAGTGTAAGGCAATCGCACCGCCTTCTTGGGATGTACGGAGGGAAATCGTCCAGCATTCTCGCCGGCTGAGCATGCACGTCGAGCAGGCTGTGACGATGCGCAGCGTCGCGTTCCATTCTCCCCTGAACCTCCGCTTGGATGATGAATGCAGTATGCCCTGTGTCAGATAAGGCTATCCGAATATGGATATGTCAGGCACAAGGATTGCATATCCAAAGTATGCATATAACACCTATATCTCCGAATATTCCGATGTCGGATTCCAGCGAGAACACACCGACTTTTTCTATCATCATCAT